CCAAATTTGGGTCTATAATCCTTTGAGTCACAACTCCAGGTTTATTTAGTAATCCTTTTGCATTCACATATCTCCAAGTATTTGAAAATATTTTCTTTCCACTCAAAAATAAAATATGAATAAAGGTTTACGGCTTTGTGAAACTTTTTTTTTAGTTTATGCCGTTAAAATAAATAAATAATAAAAAAAATTAAAACATTTGTCAGTTTTGTTTACATGTTTATTGGGCCTAATTGGAACTTGCCTTGGGCCGCATGCGGCCCGCGGACCGCGGGTTGGACACCCCTGATGTAAAATCTCAATGTTATAAAGGACATGATGTATCTCTACGTTAATACATGTTTTCTGTTTTCCTGTTACTATGGCCAAAACACCATTTCTATCGGTGATAAAAATGATGTTTAATTTATAAATTGAGGGTAGAAAATCATCTATGTGTTAAGTGTAAAATACAAAAATATTCTGATTAAACTCTTACCCGAGACGTACTCGGACCAAATCAAGCAGATGGATACTTGACTCAAATGATGGAGACAAAGAGATCATTAATCAAACTGAATGTATTCAGTTTCTCCATTTTTCATTCCTCTCCATAACTTCTCAGCTGATCTGAATGTGAAAAAACAAATTTAATTATTTATTGAAAACATATGTAAATTTGAAATTTATCAAAACATATTGAGAGGGCAATATCGGCTGTGTTTATATTGATTAATTGCAAATATTACATTATATGAAATTGAGAATCAAAAAATGTTATATTTATAAATAATTGCTAGTTATTATTATTTTCATTTGTAGCTTATCTGTTCATTGGATTAAAAATAGAACTATTTTGGTAAATCTCGATTTAGCGCAAAAATATAATAAAGTTATGCCATTCTCATAATAGTTACGAAGTTTTTAAGCTCAAATCTCTTCGTACATCTTAATATTGTGTATAATTGTTGCTGTTTGAGGTACTTTGGTTTAGCGTCACATTGGATTCGGTGAGAATTGTAAAGGCAAGCGAATGACCGAGCTAAATCGGACTTTGTTTGTACTGACATATACAGAAACTCACCTCTTCACTGGCTTCCATACGGCCTTAAAAAACGATCCGGCTTTTTTTAATTTCTTTGTATCTCTAATGGCACAACCAATGGTATATCCAATGGTGTGTCCAATATTATATCCGAAGGTGTTCTCATTTTCCATGCAATTTTCGTTTTTCCTTAAGTTTTCAATCATTTTAACATTTGTTGGACGACCCATAATATCAGTATTTAATTCATTATCGTCCTCTTCTTCAACCAATCGCTGACTATAAGTAGAAAGAAAAAATTCACAATACAGTAAATATTTATGAAACTTATAGAGAAATTGTAATGCATTACTTGGTAAATATTTAATTTTATATTCTCTAAAATATTTTATGAAATAAACAAATTATCACTTAGACGTCTGTTAAGTAATGGCAACACAACGCTTGGGCCATTTACATAGGGCATTCTAATTCACGATTAAAGTTTCGATGCCTTTTGACGTAACTAAATTTATTAATATTTTATGGACATGTAGGGCCTCCTCTAATTCAAATTTAAAGTTATGTGCAGAACTTGTTAGTGTATGTAATTCTTATCTTTGAGATTTGTCGGTTTAATGACGATCTCAGAGGTGGACAGTGGCGCTGTATCGAACTTTGAATATATATAGAGGATGCATACGTCGCATAATGATATACTCAATAACATTACCATAGTTTTAGTTGTAGCAGAAAATGCCTCGATTTTCGTTGCATTTCTGGACGTTTCAAGATCTTCAGAGTCTTGTAAAATTTATGATATGTAAAAGTCTTAGTAATTATTTTTTGTACAATCGCCATACTTTTCCTCTAATATATACAACAGAGCCGAAAAAGTTAAAAAAATGTACTGACTATAAATTTCTCACATTAAATTACAACTAATATTAAGAAATCACATTCATATATTTGATGCGAAAAAGAAGAGAAAATTGAGACGTGTGTTCATTGTATATAAGTGATTTCGGATACATCTGAAATCACTTATGGTATAGTTAGGAATTTTTGGTATGACCATTCCTTACTATATTGTTCTTCAATATAAATGAACTATATTCTAAGAGTACGTCAGCTTCTTCAGCAGCTTATTCCGTACTATATTATAATACTGTATAACTGTATTATGCTTTTGTATATTTTGGTTTTTCTTTAAGTGCTAGGATTTGTTATAATGAAGGAAAAAAACACAATTTCGAATTAAAATATATTTACTGTTAATACTGTTCTGTACAGTACATAGAAGATTTTATATGACACTACAATCGAGCATTTCGGGTCAACGTTACTCCTCAGCAGATATAATTTTTTTTATGTTTATAGTTTATAGTGTATACCTATATGTATCTTTCAACATTTTCGAAATAGACCTTTGAAATGCCATTTATGTAATTTTTCCAGCAAAACTTTTTAAAAATATTTTCCTGTATATTACAACACAGTTTCATTTACTTAAACATCACTAATTCGTTAAACGAATTACGAACTTTTTAACCCACGGAGTAATTATCCAGCTCGCAGCTCTGCAGCTGTATGAGCGAATAAAAATATAACAATAAAAGGGTAACGTCTGCTGAGAAGAAACGTTGGCCCGAAATGCTCGATTGTGGTATAGTAGCATATAAGATTACATTACAGAAAATATATTTTAATTGGAAATTATGTGTTTCTTTTTTCTCATTATAACAAGTCCACAGTGGACTTCCACTTTGGACTTGTTATAATGACTCAAGAATGTCTAAAGTGGATAAAAGTATAATATAAGTAATTATGAACAAGAAGCACGTATCAACGTGATATAATTGTATAACATATAAACATAAATTTTACGTACCTGTTAAAGCGATCGCACGAATTTTTGTAAAATGGCCGAATCTTATCCATTGTTTGTTTACATGCAGGACTGATGTGATCTTTCAAATTGAATGTTCCAAAGTTAATTTTTGCGGGTTCATCCTGCTCCAACAAGCCCTCTTTCTTGCCGCGATATTTAAAATGATCCAAAGTTTTTGGATTTACAAAACCCGCACGTCCATCTGATCTTGCCCTGAAAATGAAAAGAGAAAATAATATAACACAATAAATGTTAAACATCAGAACTTTTATTCTAATTTTAAAATCGAATATACAAAAGTTTGCCAATGAGTACTTATGTAAACTTTTAGAAAAATTACAACACTCTAATGAAACTTTTTATTTAATGTCTAACAAAATTTCTTATCAAACTGTAAGCTAAACAAAGCATCATTTAATAAACTAGTAAAATTTCATTAATTTGAGTAAGTAAAAGAAAGTGTCTTATTATAAAACAAGATATAATAAAATTTAACAACTTATAAATTATATATCTATTAACTACTAATTTAATAATTTATCACAACTGATCAACAATTTCATCTATTACGTGTAGTGAATCGAAAAGGCTACAGATAACAAATAAGTCTATTAAATTAGGTTCATGAAGTTAAAAACGTATTCTGTTTATTTTTCTAAGTAACAGTAAATGTAAAAAGCCCTAAGATGTATTTACTTAGCACAAGACTTTAATCTCTAATCTGTTAAACTCACATGCAAATCTAACCCTATCATTTCAACATTAAATTGATTATAGAATACAGCAAAACACAAAAATGTTTGCTTAAAAACTACATTCAGGAATATCGAAGAGTCAAAATCTTTGAATGGATTTAAAGAAATTATCATCTGCATTGAGCAATTTCATTTTAAAGTCATTAATTTTTCGAATGAATTTCTTATTTGCATAAATAACAATAATATGTGAAAAATTTCTTACTCCAAAGTCCCAGGCAAGGGTTGATAATTGTACGAATCAAAAAACATTTTTAAGTCAATTGTAAAGCGCACTCTTTTCAATAATAGAGCCAAACAATGAAAGGTCAATTGTTGAGTTTCTTTGTTACGCGTTAATTGAAGTAGAGAAAAATTTTAATGATTAATTTGTGGTTTTATTTTTAATTTTTGAATTAGTCCCTGTGTAATAATGAATAAAGGGTGATGGCCATGGCAGTAAACGTCTTGGCCCACCTCTTTGGATGATTTGGTATCGAATCTGGGCGAGCAACTCTCAAAGAATTTTTTTATGAAAGATCAATTTTAGATACGTTGAGCCCAGTACCTCACCATTGTTGGTTAGAACATATCTACCATTGTGGGTGTGGTCTAACCCACAATGAACAGGATTGATAATTTTTAAAGAGTTGCCTACCTGGGTCTGAGTGCAAAAACCACTGAACATTTGTAGTTTTTCGTCAGCTTGTGCTTTGCCGACAGGCTGACCACATAGAATTTTTGGAGTTTTCTTCACGTTTGTAACATCTAAATAGGGGTCAGTTTCCCATTGAAACTTTTTTCGAGAGGCACGCTTTTTCACGTGTTGCCGTATACAAATAATATAATCCGTTTTAATATTGACATAGCAAAAAAGTAATATTATTAATGACAATAACTATATCTGAACCGCCATCTGTTCAATAGAATTACTGTATGCAGTGTTGCTGTTGATGGCAGTTTATTTTAATGCTCTGAAAATCGGGACATTAATTGAAGTGCAATATGTAGCCTATAGCCAGTGGCGTAGTGTAATAGGGGCGGCCCGCCCCGGGCGGCACTTTTTAGGGAACGGCAAAATTTCACAATAAATAATAATAATATCTTGTAAAAATTTCAACCATTTCTTTCCATATTTTCGTCTCACCTACGATTCAGACCGATTGAGATGAGCACGGGGAATAGTGTTACCATCCGGACAGTCCGGGAATCTACTGATCGCCCGGGTAAACTATTAATTTTACCCGGCAATACCGTGCAAAACCTGTCGACCTTTTTTTTTTTGCTTGTACGATTCATTCGTACTCATATACACCTCTAATATCCAATAGGGCTAAGTCATCTAGAATACTTACGTTACTCATACCCAAGTCTCCCTAGTCGCTAACTGTAACTGATTTAGAACTGGCATGCACTGCACATTATCCACTTGCCGCCCACTGATTAATTTATTTAATGTAACTAGGCATAAAAAATACTTAAAAATGAAACAAAAGGAAAGAAATTGTTGTTTACAAAGTAGACTGCAGGTGTAAAATTAAATGCCTTGTTAAATGAAAGAATTACAATCCGTGTACCTATATTTTACAAATAAAAGCATTTATTTTAAATTATTTTCAATTTTTTATAGTTTTTTTTTAAAAAAACACTTTTCGGAGAGGGGGTTATTTACCGACAATTATTTACGAGCAATTTTTTTAGTGTAAGATTCGCATTTGAGTAAAAAAAAGTTACTTAACATAAATATTAAATTTTTAAAGGATTTTTAATTAACATTAGCAGTTAAGCAATAAGGCCCAAGGAGATAAGTAAAAATATAAAAGATTTGCTGGTATGTGAATTGTGGATTGTACACATCTGCTGTTTTATTTAAGTTTTAAGATCACAGTCAATTACTTAATCCAAAGATTTTTTAACACGCAATAACGTTGCTTCTCCCGAACTAAAGTAGTAAAAATAAAAGTTAGATACAATAAAATTATTTATTTATTTTTTGTAAATTGTGTTTTACTGATTTTAATTACTTTCGTGCATCAAGTCGAAGATACTTTTTATTTTATGATGTAAAGATATTTTCATGTTAACGATTATCAGCTGTTTGTAATTACTACTCTTTTGTGTTTAATTGCAATATTAAAGTTACAAAGTAAAATAGAACAAATTAACGATTGGAATATGTTGTAACTGAAGGAAATAATATTTACATTAATTGAAATTAATAATTCTTTTATTTATTCGAAAAAATATAATTGAAAATTCCTAATATTAAGACAAACAAGAGAAGATTTATTGTTCCCGTACAATGAATGACCAAGAACTTCCTTTTTCGTAAAGACAATCCAATATAAATACATTAGATATTGTTTGTTTTATTATACTTATGGCAACAACATATATAAATTCAATTTACTTGTATAATCACATTCATGAGAGTCGCTTATCAGATTTAAATGATCGATATCATACTTATTTAATCAGAGAAACAACATATAATAATATTACAGTTTGAACAGATAAAAAATTTTTGATATTTATATTTTCTCAAATTGACAGGTTTGATATACTTATTTAATAATGCACAAGAAAGCAATTTTTGAAAAAAATATAAAAATAGCATGTTCTACCTTTCTTTGTTTTTAGTTAATTAAATATTTACTATTTACTCGTGTTTTTTTCACTGTAAATTATAGTATGATATAGGCCTATATATATAAAACTGAGAACTTCCATTACGAACATGATGTTACATTGTTATATACTTCCGTAATTAACGATGACACTTTTCTTTTAGGCAAAAATAGTAAATACGAAATGTAAATTGCATAGTAGTTTTTGCCAAAAAAAATCGACAAATAATTGGATTAATTATGTATTTAACTTATAAATATTTTATCACGATTAAAATTTTCGCCGTTTAGATTTGCCACCCCGGACAAATGTCCGGGTTGTCTGTTTCTAGAGTGGGACCTGATCCTGTGTACTTAATCCCCAAACGAAATAACAGGAGTTATACTTAGCTGAAAGGGTTTATGTGAGATAAAAAAAAATGACAGAAGTCATGTTATCAAGACGTAAGTAGCGTTAAAATAAAAAAAAAACAACACAATAAACATAAAAGTGTTTTAAAAACATGAAAAATCAAAACAGCTGAGAAAGAACAGATTTTCGTGTGAACTCGCTAGTGGGTAGCCGCGTGTCTATTTCTGTTTTTATTTATTTAATTAATTAATATAGACTCTTCCATATCAAACTGATGCGTGTGTACTCTTTGTCTGCACAGTCCTTCATGTAGAAGTCAATACAATAAAGCAATCGCTGTACTTTTTTATCAAATGATAGAAATGCGTTTATAATTCAAAAATTTTCAATATATTGATTTCTTGGTCTTAAAAGTTTTTAATGTTTTTTGTTATTATTCTATTACATTCAATATTGCTATTCACGAAACTTACTATTTTTTAAGTAGGCCATATTTCTTTTTTAAATTTAGATACTGTGCAGGAATATACAATTGTAGTATTCATAACTTAAAAATATTACAATAGTTGCACTGTTATAAGTTTTTTCAATTGAACATTATTAATAAACTTCGTTATAAATTAATGTTTTATCGAAATTAGTGCTATTCAGAATAATGCAAATCTCGTGCTTTTATACAATACTTGGGTTTCATATAATAATTGGCTATTGTGACATCAAAGTAAATTTTTAAATTAAAATCATTGTTCACAGCTTGAATAGCTAGAGAGCAGCTGTATATTTTAATGACACAGAAAAATTATAAATAGAGTTTTATATTCTATTTATCGTAACTTGGTACCTACAGTAAACAAAAAAATGACACATCTTTGTTTATTGGTTTAAGTCACCCTTTGTTTATTGGTCAAGCAATTAGAAACCTATTGTTTATATCTATTTAATAGAATAGTTGTATAGTTAAAAATTTTAAATTAAATAATTATAAATACAGGTAACCCCGTATAACACGGTAATTACGTTCAAAAAAATTGCCGTGTTATACGAAACAAACAACTAATACGAAAAGGAGGGTTAGGTTCCAAAAATTAATAATCATGCTATTATATTTTCATAATTAAAATAAATATCTTTATTTAAAATTTTTAAGTGATACATATTAATATAAATTAAACAATATTTTCTTCGTCATCACTATTAATGAATTAACCGAGAGCGTTTTCTTTTTGGCAAGTTATCGTTATCCTTTAAGCATTTTTCTGCATTATCTTCAGATCCATGCTTTACCTTTTGCAAAATGTATGTAATTTTAGATTGCTTGCTTCTAGTTAAAATATTATAAATTTCCTTATATGGTGCTAAGCACTTATGAAGAATAAAGCAAGTATGGAATAAGGGAAATCAGAAGCAGAAGCGTCGAGATCTGGCAACATTGAAGCAAGTTTCGAGAAGGACCATGTGTATGGACAGAAGGCGAGAAAAGAAAATTTACATACTTAAGTACTAATAGTTTACGAAAATAATAATTTTGGTGAACAATTATTACTTAAGTATGTAAAAATTTATTACGTTTCCTGTTGTACAAGGGTTTTACCAAATTCTCGAACCGTGTCAGAGTGAATCCGTGCTATAACAGTACCGTGTGATACGGGGATGGTACCAATTCTCGAACCGTGTTAGAATGAATCCGTGCTATAGAAGTGTCGTGTTATATGGGGGTTATCTGTATATTTTGTGCTAGTCTTCATAATATATATTAATATTAATTTTCGACAATGGAAATAATTTAAACCGCTACATATTAATGTTTAAGTAGGCTATAAAAACTTTTCAAAGTAGTATCTCAGCATTTTTTAAATTGTTGCGACTATTCTGACCTACTTTAAAACGTGCAGAGAATTGAACTTAACCGATCAATACGTTTCATGCCACTGCCGCTTGTGATTGACCAATGAAAATCTTCGATGGATTGAAACCAACGAAATGTTTGCTTATAGTAAGTGTCAACTTAGGATGAGTAGACTATAGTCTTCTTTTTCATGTTGGGCACGAGGAGAGCTACTAGGCTATGGCATTTTGTGGTAAGTTGTAATGTCCCTTTTATGTGGGTAGTACTTATATAATTTTTTGTTATATACGCAAAGAATAATGTTTTCTGTGAGATGTTTTAAGGGTAAAGAATCATATTCACGCGTTACAGACTCAAAGAACGTCCGGAAAACTCACGTGGCTAACCTGTCCTGACGAACCCATGACCGAACTCAAAGTATTCAAAGAAAGGAACCACTTTGCCACTGGTGGGCTGAATACTTTGTGTTTATATAATGTGCTTAGTTTAATAAATTCGCAT